CGAATCTGGAAAGAAATCTGCTCATTATTCATAGCTATAAATAAATTGCCTCCATTTTATCGTAATTAAATCAATGCTTCACGTCTAATCTATATAGAATGACATTGATCCAAGTAATCTTACGTTATACTTAAAAATTTAAATCAAGACTTAATTTTTGATAGGCTTAAAGCTAGGTAGCACTCGCTTGTAGAGAAAGCAATATGAAGGATAATCCCTTACTGATGACAATAAGGCGGAACTTTCTCGATATAAGAGGAATATCTTTATTATTGACAACAACACTATAGCGTATAATAATAGTATAATTTCTTGTGTTGAGTTCATGAAAAGGCATAATTATTGAAAAGGAATTTTTCTTATAAAAATTAACTGAAATATTGAAAACGCTCGCATCTCTTTTACTAGCAAAATTATTATCTAGGAATCGAACCTAATCAACTTTACAATACTACCATGAAGGCAGCTTGTGATAAGTAAAATCTCTTTTTCGGAGGGCATTTCATTGATCGACCTTATAAACAGACAGTTTTTCAATGCCCTGCCCGACCGAAACAAACTTATCGATTCCCAGGCCCTCGCTTAACGTGATGGACATTAAATCATTGAGTTACAGAGGAGTTTTTTATGGTCAGGGGAGCTACACATTTTTTAAACATCAAACCTAATAATCATAAAAATAACTAATATACCTACAGTGGAGACAGATCGCGACTAGTCTTTATTAAATATATTACCGTTTCAATAACTCTAATAAGCACTCCGATATCTGAATCAGCCCAGAACCTAAATTCAATATAGTCTTATCAGATAAAAGCTATCAAACAATAGATCAAATAATATTTTATTTATATTATATTAGCTACCACTGATTTTGGAGTAATGAAATTGATTCGATGTATTGATAGCGCTGATAAGGGATTATTCGCTTTTCAATGCCAGTATATTTTAATTAGACGAAACGCAACGAAAGACAAACAAACCAACGTAATAACAAAACAAAAATTTAGTTATGTAGGTACTGTAAAACTTTTGTTTTTGAATTTGGAATACGGTTTTAAATCGTCATCGAATATTGTTCTCTTGTTTTTTTCTTTTAATTGTCGATTCGCAATTGTTTAACGGTTAATTTTGGGGGGAAAGGCGGGTTATAATAACGCTGGGTTGAAAAATAAATTATTATCTAAAGTCTGAAATCATTTCACCGAATTCGTGTTTTGTTTTTTTCATTTAGGTAATATACACGTAGGTTAAATCTCCTTAAACGTAGTCTAATTGGAAAGTCACGTCATCATAACTCAAACAGACTATATTTAAATAGGACCATATTTACTAAGAATTAATTACAACCATGCAATCCATTATTGTCCTATGTTAATTCGAATCGCTTAGTCTATAATTATAAGGAGTTTGTTAGCCATCATAAGAAGCATAGTTAATTGTTGGTCTGACAGGAAAATTGTCTGCAGCGGTATGGTGGAGTGTGTTTTATATGGTTTATGCCCGTTAAATACTAGGGAAATACTATCTAAAGGGGGAGAGAAATGTATGTAATAAATTATTACACAAAATATGTCTTTGAGGGTAGAGAGTTCTATATATAGATCTAAATTTTAATAGTTAGGTTAATTTCACAATGAATAAAAAAGCGTTATAAGCGCTAAAACTGTAGTAATTATTATCCGTATTACTTTAAAATAAATTTTTTAATTTAACTGTTATAAATAACAAATATTGCCACGAAGTTTGCGTGATAGAAAACCCACCATGACAACGGCTGCTGCTAAGCATTCGAAAGATCCCGAAGTAAAAAATAATATCAGGAATATAAGTATTGCGCGTTTTAAACCGTTAAACTTGTTTTAAGAAATAAACACTATTATACTTTGTTACTCTAAGAAGATATATTTTGTTACCCTAAGGAGATATATAATATTGATTCGATTTTTGTTTCTTTTTACTATCTGTACCTACTGTTGACAATTGACTATATTTATATATTTTTTTTATTTAAGTGGCCAGTTCATTATTACTTATGTTTAGTTAATGACATATTTCGTAATTAAAGATGTCTACCACAAGAACGGACCCTGTCCTCCTAACAATGTGTTAATTGCATATTTTGTCGAGTATTAAACGGTTATTTGCTTGTCTGCTTAGCGGTGACCTTTTAATACACTCCGCGCATTTATGTACGTCTAACTTGCAGAAAAAACGGCTTTAAAAATCAACGTTGTACACACAAGTTGTTGTCTATTTGTTTAATATTATGGTATCAGAAGTAATTATAATTAATTACTGTAATTAATATTAAAGTATTAATCGTGTTTTAAGTGCTGTCTAGGGTCTGGACTGTGTCTGGTGGCTCTACGTAATTACAGTAAGTATAAGGACTTTCTATTTTATTGAATCATTTCTAAGCTTAAGCTTTATATTAATTAAACATTGTAGTCATATTATAGCCCAAACAAGACCTTGGAGATATTGGAGTTCTTCGGACATATTGTCAGGTAGGAGATAATCTAGAGTGTCTGGTGTTGAAGAACGAAGGAGACTACACGGCCGCAGACCAATGCGTTAGAGATGCTCCACGCTCGAATCCACGATACATGAGGCCCTACGGGTAGCTGAAAGCAGGTCGACTTGGCATTCGGAAAATCACTGATGGTGGTGGTCACCACACTCAAGATTGAGGAATACGATGCGAGGAGTGAGGTATATATATACCTCACTCCTATACATCTAAATATATAATTATGATAGTCTTTTAATCATATTATTTTTGCTCCCATGTGAACGCAGCTTTAGCACACTTCGAGAATAATATATCAACGTTAAAACAAAGTAAAATACGTGTGGTCTTATTGAATAAAACAGCACAGTGTTCATCTATATCAATCTGCGGATATGTAGTGATTAAGTCAGTTTAACTGACTGCGCAAGAAGTATTTATAGCGTTTTAGGAAAATCTCAAACTGTTTCGACTTTTTTGTTCATCAGATGTCGATCTAATTGGGAAGAACTACAATGAAGTATGGTCTGTTGTTTCCGCGAATAGTACGCGTTAATAAAACACTTTTAATGTTTAAAACGCTAAATGATGTGGAATAGCCGCGGTCCGAACGTAACCGTGAGGTGCTTTATTTAGATGAGAATAAAAATTGTTTTTATAAGAAACCAAGAAATTACTTATCAATTGCATTAAGCATTGACTCGTTTACTATATGTTTTCTAATTTTAATAAAAAACAGACATACAAGAAAAGATCATAATGATATTACTTATGAATTAATTGTGCAAAAATCTTTCGGTTACACAAGGTGTTTTTCAAATTCAAATTTGGAATTTAAAGGTCTAACAAGTGTTTGTACGTTAAAAATATAATATTATAAACAATTGTATTATTTTAAATATATTGCAACTCTAGATGAAATAGACAAATACAAAAGCTTATCTTTGACACAAAAAAATCGTGTCATTTTGATGCCCTTCAAGTACCTATTGGGTTATAAGCGGCGCAAGTATTTCTTACTTTATAAAACTTATTAGTACCCTTAGATATATTAGGTAAATGTTAAATAAGCAAGGTGTAGACTCGTTGATATCTATTGGAAGTAAAATCGCTTATGACGGTCTAGTCGGTCCAGTGGTAGTATTGTATGGTCAACAATAAACGGGTCGAGCTTTCGATTACGCCGAAGTCCAACATGTTTCTATTTTCGAAAAAATCCGCGTGTAATCGCGTTTCGGTTGCAGTCTGTGAAGTTCTTAGGCCAAAGCAAAATAGATCGACAGCGCACCTTGTCTGTCCTCCCACGAACCACCTAGCACTATAAGAATTAAACTCTAGGTACAGTCTCTAAGTTCTCAAAAATAAGTGGCTTTCTTCACTCCTTAGTAGGTAGAAGAGTTATATTAGGAAATCATTATGTTAATTTTGATTGAATCTTGCCATACAAACATTTTCGTTCGTTATTAACTATTATAAATGAGGATTTAGAGTAAAATAAGGACAGCCTTTCATTCGGGGTGAGAAAGAGTTTTATTTCACGTCGGTAATATTATTAACCTAGCTAATATTATTATTTTATAGGTACTTTTAGACTTATTATCAAAACAAATTACCTACGTTAGTGATCGTGTTTAATCGTCTCGAGCGAATGATTTACTTCTATAAAACACATACACCTACTTATTTGATATAGATAAAGCAAATACAATAAAGATATATATTTAATTTTATAAGTTCCATTATTATTTATTTAATATTATGATTTTTATTGAATTATATTTGAAATAAATAGACATAAAGCTATTTTATCGGTCCGATAAGAAGTTTATGTTAGGTACCAGACTACATTGTATTATATTTTATTAGATAGGTATTTTAAAATAGGTAATGTGGCCGTAGGTAAAATGCAAGTAGGTATAGATAAAGGTGTGTACTTAATTAGCGATATCTCAATTAAAACTTCAACCGGATCTTGTTAAAATAATAAATAACGATAGCTCGCTAATTGGTTAATCTGTGCGAATTTACAAAATGGTGGACTCTAGAAAGCGCGCTTTAATATAAGTATAATTTGTAATATTTTTATGTTTTGTGCACTAAAGTATATATAAATAAATAAATAATATTGAAATGTATCTGTGTGTATTTTATTTGAATCTGTGCTTATTTAGAACGCGATTATAGTTTTGATCTGTGGCGAATAGATCCAAAAGATAACTAATAAATCAACAATAGATTTGAATTTATCTATGGCGAATGTAATTCGAATTTCAAAAGATGTCCATTTGATTGTAACGCGATTGTTAATTCTAATTGAATGAACGAATGAATCCCGAACGTGAACCTAAAAACTCGATTCTAAATTTGAATTCATAGCTCGATTGACAGTTATGTTTTTCTAAAATTAGTCACGATTGATCGATAACCACGTAAACACGAAGACATAATCGCGTAGCGGCAAAAATTGTCAGCTCCAAGGAGCCGTTACCTGGTTCGGCGGTGAGCCACGGAACGCGAACTGGGAGGTCATTCTCACTTTTATCACGTAATGTCACAGTCACTACACAGTTTTTCACACTATTGAAGTCCGATGCATGACCGGCGAGATTTCATTGCGATCGATCGCACGGAGCGTTGTAGCGGTCGCGTGGTCGCGCCCGCGGCGGCAATGGGTAATGCGGTAGCGGTCCGCCAGGTGATAGTAATTGGCGCCGCTATCCTTCTCTACAGGCACCCGTCCCTCTCGGCGCGCACACGCACACTACTCCCTGTGTGAGTCGCCCACATCAGCGGTGGACGCAGGCAGCGGAAAGCGCAGCGGCGCGAACGCGCTAGGCTCGAGCGCTTTATTTGTCTGTAATTTTTGATGGATTCACATTTTTAGAAGATGCGTGACGAACCATATTATTTTATTGTACACGAGAAATATTATCTGCCTATTGGATAATGTCACAGAGCTGAAACGTATCGCGTATTTTAATTTTTGATATAGATTTTTTTCTTGTTTAAAGTGATTTTTTTTTTACTTTTTTTTACTATAAGAATTGATAAAACGTGTAAAAAATAGTAATCACACTAGAGTACATTATATGCATACAAATAATATAAGTATAAATTTAATTATTATAGGCTGTTTATTGTGATACAATTAATGTAACTTAACTCACGTACAGCTAGATTCAGCGCTGCCTGCATCCGTTATCGCTTTTCAATCGCCGACAGCGCTGAGCGTTCACAGTAGCAGCCCACCTCTCGTTCTTTTAACGCTCGTCGTTTGACCCCGGTCGGAGCCCGACGCTCTCGATTTTTGCGGTGCGATGGGTGGCGCCCACTTCAGGGGCGGCTCTGAACGGAGGGGGGGCGAACAAGTGGGGGGGAATGCACTCCTTTCTTTTTTAAAAGCGTCTCTTTCTTTTCTCGTATTTTTTACGCCGCTGACGGTATAAAGCGGTCCCTTTTATTTCATTTTCATACTTATATATTGTGATAATTAACAGTTGAGACACGCAGGGATCTACGTAGAGTTAATGAAAGCTTTGCATGTGATTAAAGGTAGCCACGACATTTGTAATTTTTGTTTTAGCATTGATGTTAGGCTAGCGTGTACCGGTTTCGCGAGATGGGGAAATTACAGTGTCGCTCTGGTGTTTAGCTGTGTGTGCAAGACACAGGGCTCGTTTTACCTATCGACATCTGCTGTCTTGAGCGTGTATACCGTCTTGGTAGGAGAACAATGGATTTTCAATTCGAGCAATTATAAGCGAAACGAGCTATGTGATTCGAGCGGCATATTTTACGGCATAGCTCGTCGCAAGAAAGCGGTCACAATTAAGCAAGAGCGAGCGTCGAAAAAGCGCAGCGCGATCGATCCCCTCTTTCTTATCGCGCGAATATTTCACAGTGAACGCAAAAAACTCACACAGATATAAAATATTCAAACGGTGTAACATAAAATAAATTATCTTAGGTGTTGTTTGTGTGAGTGCCCCCACCCCTTGGGCGGTGTCGGGCGACCAATTGGGTCGGTCGGCGCGCGACGCGAGTTCATTCGTTCTGATGTTTGCATTGATGTTGCACGCGTTACGGCCATTACATTTGCGCTTATCTATTAGCTTGGCTTATCAGCGCAAACACTAATCCTTACTATGAGCGAGTCCGAACGCCCTTTCATACTTCTAATAAGACTATATTCCTTAAATCTTACGGCATACACAATGCATCAATCACGTTAGATTTCTATAGCGCATCTTGTTTAGATGTTAATGGCTTCTAATGAACCTAGAGCATGTCTGTTCGTCCTGTCATAAAACTTGTTTACTCAGTGTGTAAATTGAATTACAAGGAAAATGCACAAACATCAAGCACCAATAATTTCTGTTTTTTTCGCTTGCTTTGCTGACATTTAGAGTGTATAGGTTTGTAGATCGTTTTTTTTTTAATTTAATGCGTTGTATTGTTTTATTAAAAAAAAACACGCACTACCTATTAATGTAAATAAACAGATTTTTAGCCCTTTAACACAAAAAAATACACAAACAGATTTAACAGATATATAAATTTATTAGATATATAAAATACTTAACTACGAACTACTTCTTTGTCTACCTTTCTTAAGTGTGTTAAAGTTTGATTAATCATAATTGTTGTTTAACAATTTACATTTTTTGTAACGGTTTAAAACATATTATTAAGTAATTGCGCGACACATAAAAAAGAATATATTTTTAAAAGAAATCAAGCAGGATAAAATCTGTTGACAGTGACTAGAAATAATATCACGAAAAGTATGGCAATACTAAAACTATTCGCTTAAGTGCTTTTTAATTCAAATTGTCAAATGACACTGAATGACAGCGGTAAAATAAATATACCTCCTAATAGGTAAACTACTTTAAATGCTTGTTACTTTTCAGTAGTCCAGCGTGCATTGTGGGCAAAGACTTACAACTATATGCTAGTTGAATTCATTAAAATAAAACACTTTCAACGGCTTAAAACAAGGAAGGTACGGGCAAAATTATTATGTAGTAACGGTACTTCATTTGTAAATAAGTTCAACTAATACATGTCGTGTTTTAAACCGTTAAACTTAATTTATTTAAATGTCTACTACTAGTGTAAAATATAGACAGTTCTTACTTGAATCCTGTTTCCCAACAATCTTGCCTAGATTGTTTGTCTACCCGCCAGGTTTTAATTACAGCATAATATATTTTATATAGGTATTTGAAGTAAGCATACAATTTTGACATTATTTCTCAATTTCTGATAAGATAAAGTGTATCTATAAGTAGATAGAGAACTAAATAATACATTTTTCTAGACTGAAATAGTATTGAATTTTTCGCGTCCCACTATTTCTTCTGCTTTTCGGCATAACTTTACTGTCTAGAACAAGTTTATTTTTAATGTTTTATTTGTACACAAATTAAAAATACCATTTATTAAAGAAATAATAAACTATTGGTGGAAACCTTACGTTGCAACATTTTCAGCTATTGGTAGTTTAATATTAAGAAGTTAAAAATCTTAAATTAATACATTTTAAACAACTTAAAACGTAGTTGAAAATACATATATAACTCGCGTTTTAACCAGTTCAAAATTGATTTTTCAAGGTCTACTCAATCGTGTGAATGTCTTACACTCGAAGGGGTTTGAATCTCTGGTAAAAATATATCATATGCCCAACTTAATACTAAGTCAGATTTAGCAATACAGTCAGTCGGTTTTAAGTACGGATAATAAATAAATTTCACGATAGCACAAATATGAAATCAGCGCTAGCGCGACGAATTTAAAATCCTTTGATGTTTTTTTTACAGTTTTCAGAATTCACATCTGCTAACCGCCAATATTTTCACAAGAGCAATTAATTCACACACACTGAATAGTCTCAATGACAGATCTTAACAGATCTTAAAACTTCGTGTCGGCGTCTTTGAAGGTCTCCTGCTTGAGAATCTCATTGCCATATGAAAAAACCTTTGGAAAATTTTAGCGATATCTATTTATATAACTTCAATGCCAAACACCAAAGGAATGGTTTACATTTAAACTTATGAACTTGCTAATAAATAAAGGGCGGCCTTATCGCTAAACGGTCGATCTCTTCCAGGCAACTAAATGTGAAGGGAAAACAAGAATGAAGGTAGCTACTATAGGTAGGAGGTGCTAGTGAAGAACTTGAAAAAGAAAGGAGAAAAAAAAGAATTAAGATCGACGAAATTAGATGAGAGTTACTTATAGGTACCTTTTTAGATCATAAACGAATAATATGGTTCACACAACTTTTTCAGGGCTTCAGTTTTTCGTCCGCGTCAAGAACTAGGTACCTACCTGCCGTCCACAGATGAAAAAGCCGTGAAGTTTAATTGCGTTTCGGTTGCAGTCTGTGTATGTTTCATTGTACAAATCCGACATAGGTCAACATCGCATCTAGTTGATATGTTATATAGCTGGAGTACCTTCCATGAAGTAAACCCTTCTTTTCTATTGGGATCTCCGGAGAAACAGATGATCACACACAATTTGCTAACTATTTCACCCGTTCCCCTATGCTTGTCTGTTCTTTAACATAAACCGCCGTTTACTAAGAATCTACTAATTTAAGAATTTTGAAATTCGAAACAGTAGTTCCTGAGATAAGCGCGTTCAAACAAACAAACTCTTCAGCCGTATAGTGTAGAAATAAGGATAATGACGCTCAAAGGTGCCGACGAGGCGCAATAACAAACGCCACGGAAATAAAAACGCGAGCATTATTTGCTCTACTCAAATGAACCTCCTAAGATCTCAATATGAGCCTTTATTAACCCTGCATGAGGTTCAAAGACATTCAAATAACACACTAAAAGCGTCAATCTACATACGTCCTATCGCAGTCCTTAGACGCCCTATTCCATTCGAGTAGATTACAAATAATGAATAAAATTGCATACGAAATCAGTCCACCGACCGTCCGTGGGTATGGAATTGTTTGAGCGGGTGGGGTGAGGTTTATTGCTGGTAAATACGTTCCCAGCTAATATAGGTGAGCTCATTTGAAGTCTACTGACTGTGGCTGTACAGCTTTTCAATATGTAATTAAAAAATATAATCACCATGTATATATAGCGAAATCCCAATGGGGCGAACACATTTTTGTGTCCGTTTCACTGAACGGTTTTTAGAGGCAAGTAGTTGATCAGATTTGTGTGCCCTGCCCGATCGAAACAGTTTATTGTTTCCCCGAGATTCGAACCCAGGACCTCTCACGTTTCACCATGATTCAGACACCCCCGGGGGGGCTCAAACTTATTATTATAGATTTTTGCAAACAACCTTCATCGTACTTGCGAGTTAAACTTAAAGGATAGACTTATATTGCAAACATTTTTTTTTATCATTTAGAAATGTCTTTTATTGGCCGCAGCTTGATGTTTTATACCATATATATATAAATTGAAAAGGTTATAAATAAATGATCAAAACAAACAAACTAACAATCAAACTATTCAGATCACCCAATAGAAGCCGAGCAATATCTCAACAGCATACGCTGACGACCCATATTTGCTTCGGACTTAATAAATAGTACAATAACAACTTAATTTCATTAATCAAGCTTAAATAATCAATTATAAAATGACGTCATCATATTGAAACAATGGCGTTGATAAGATAACGGTGCCGTAATGCCTTGTACATGTTTGTACACATTTATATATGTAAATTGTGTTTTATTTGTTTGTTATTTGCTAAGTCAATTTCCATACAGAGAGGTTATAAAAAGGGGAAATATCTTTATTATTAATTCATTCTATTTCTTATTGATAATAAGGCACGTATCTGACGGAAGGTAATCCCATGCAATTATAATGTCTAATTAGTTCGACCCATATGGGAGTAGTAGTTCCTGAGATTAGCGCGTGCAAACAAACAAACTCTTCACATTTATAATTAGAATAGAACTACTGGTTCGAATTGAATAAATATGTTTATGTTGATTAGAACGTTTATCAAGGAAGGCTTTTGGACGAATAGGAGCGAAGATACAAAGGTTTTTCAAGTATAAAATATAGAAAATGAATCGTTATTTATTTACTATCGTTAAAATTACTTACCAACAGTTCGTAGGCTTTATAGTTGTATTGGAAAACGTAACCTTATTCGGTTAGACATATAGTTTAAAGGCAATAACTTCCGTATAATAAAACACACACATAATAATATAGTACATAGGTAAAAATAATTGTGTAATTGCTACTACTTTATAAGGCAGATATTATTTATCGACCTGCGCGTACGCATTGACTTCTAATAAACTTGTCCACTTAAAATAATAATTCTACTAATTTAGAATTAGTAAGTGCAAGTTATAGTTTCAAATTATGCAGTAGAATGTATTGATACTGTATATGGTTTGTAATAAAGTTACTAATAACGATTAAAATAATTTAACCACTAAGTAAGGAACTAATAAGAAAAAATGATCGACATAGGGCATTAATTCGCGATAAGTTCGAATCCTGTTGATTATTATTATTTTGGGCAAAGCAAGAGGTCTAGTTTGATGAATTTTCTTATTCTTATACCTTATTAGATCTCAAATAGCTGATTAGTGGCTTTAAAACACATTCTTGTGTATAGCAATTAATTAAAATTTAATTTAAGCGAAACATTTTGATTAGGTATAGGGAGGTAAAATACTGAAAATACGGTAGGTACGTGAAATACATATTATGTAATTTTTTTTAGAACTACAAGAACTTACTACTTCATCGCGTACAAACCTGTAGTAGTAAGCTACTACAATTCACAGAGTAGAAGACAATATCGCGGGTACCCCTAACAATAATTTATGCTAACGACTAGGCGTTTTAGATCCAAATCAAATGAACGTAATCTAAAAAGATTCCGGAGACAAAAAAACTTCTTTTTCATTAGC